GTCTTTTGGAGTTGAAAGAGCTTACATTCTGACGAGGAGAGGGGATAGCACATCTAAAGGGGTAATGGTCAAGGTTGTGGTTTGGAAAGTTACAGGGATAAAGAACAGAGCCATAGGTGAGTAAATTGCTTCTTCCCAGGAGCAATGACAGACTTGATTTGATTGTGGTTTCGGAGGTATAAAGGGGACAGAGAATACTCAAAGGGGCATGGTGGTTGTCAAGGAGATATCCAGGGAGTGTAGTATGTAGCTGGAGCTCAGTCCTAGCTATCGTGGGTGCTTGGGGTAATCACCAGTCAGGAGAGTGGGACCCCATGGGCAGAGTATAGGGCATAAAAGGTTAAGTTCTACATGGTTAGGTCTTTGGTCTGGGCTCTGTGGTGACTAAGGAATAGACATCAGGGGCATGAGGTAAAGATATAATTTCACAACACCTGATAATGTGCAAAAGGTTGAGTCAACAGTATGAGAATAAGTAAAAGGAGAAAGACGTGCAATGTCATATCTCTTACCTCATCCCCAATACATACAACAAATCAGAAGGGCAGTTTTCTTTCCCTCGAGACAAACTCACCACAGACTAATCCCTCTCACTTCTGAATGGTCATTTAGACCTAAGGATAAAAGAAGTTGTCATTAATATGTTTCGTATAATTATATTAATATAATTATATAACATAATATACTAATATAATTAAATTTAGTCTTCAGCCTAGACATCCATAGTTGCACATTGCCTGTCATATTTGTTGTCTCTATATACATGACTCCCAGATCTATATGACCAACCCTGGTCTTTCTCCTGAGCTCCAACTGGATATCAAATAAGCATCACAAGTTTAACATATCCAAAACAGAGCTTATTTTCTCTCTTCCCCAACAATAGTTTATATTTCAAACTTCTCATTTCTGTGGAGGACACCATCATCTTTCCAGCTACAAAAGTCACACCCTCAGAGTCATCCTATATCTCTGTCATTCTTTCATCCCAGATCTCCAATGTTGCCATTCTTGTCTATTCTACCTCGATGACATCTCTTATACCTATTTCTTCTCCACGCCTGCAGCCGCCACTCAGACCCTCACCATCTCTTGTCTGAGACAATACCCCCTGAATTGCCTTCCCTGTTTTAAGCCCTTCCCTTCTCCAGTCCACATTGTACATAGCTGCCAGAGTCCTAAAGCACAGATCTGACCCTGTCACTGTCCCAAGCTCCATTAGCTTCCTCTTGTCTGTAGGATCAAATACAAACTCTTCTATTTGGCCTTTAAAACCCATCAGGCTGCAGTCTACCTTCCCAAACTTATTTCATATTTTTGCCCTTTATTGAATGTACAGCCTAGCCAAAATGGTTTCCTGGCTGTCCCTCAAACACAACGCTGGATCTCCTGTCTCTCTACCTTTGAAAATTACCAAATATCCCCAAATATGAGACTGTTCAAAAGGAAAAAAAATTCTGGCAGAATCACTTCTGGGGTATAAGAAAGGCTGCTTTTAGAGCGTGAGTACTTCATCATCGGGATTTTTCTTCTGTTGTTTCCATTTCTCACTCTGTACTTTTCTATTGGCTTCCATGAGTTGTCAGACTGTCAAAGACTGGCCTCTATGATGGCAGAACTACACAAAAGGATTTTGAACTCATCTGAATTATTTCAGCATTAGAAGTAGCATGGTCACTCTATGACCTAGCATGATGAAAAATCTTAGAATCATTTGTTTCGAATTGATGTTTTGCTCTAGTATGAAGGAGTTTGTTGTCAGTCATTTTTCAGTTATGTCTGACTTTTCGTGATCTCATTTGGGTTTTCTTGGCAAAGATATGGAAGTGTTTTGCCATTTCCTCCTCCAATTCATTTTACCAATGAGGAAACTGAGGCAAAAAGGGCTAAGTGACTTTCCCAGGGTCACACAGCTAGTAAGTATAAAAGACTGAATTTGAACTCAGGTCTTCCTAAATCCAGACCCCAGCACTCTATCCACTGTGCCATGTAGCTGCCACTTGTAGCATGAAGGAAATTTGCAGTAAAACATTTATTTGCCATCAGGTGGACCTGAAACACACTATTAATCTTAACTCCATCCCCTGACTTGTGTTGGTTAGGCAAAATAAACCACTGAGGAATGGTAGTTATATAATACGATTTAATACTATTTTAAGAACCTATTCTATCCCAATTTTCACAGTAATCCTGCAGTTTGGTGTATTGGAATCAGAAAAGAATGGATCTTGGATCTCAGCATTTCCACTCAATAGGGGTATACAGTCTTGGGCATAGTAGCTATATGATCCTGGAAAATTTGCCTCCCCTCTCATATGCTCATTCTCCCTGTGTATAAAGCAAAGGGGTTGCACTTAATCAGGAGTTCTGGGGTAAAAGGAAAGGGTATGTTGATTACTTTCAAGGGGTGTCTGAACTTGAATGAGAAAAAAATTACATCTTCATTTTTACTAACTCTAACTGAAATGTATTATTTCCTTTGATTAATAATATAGGCAACAATCTCTCAGGGTCCATAGTATTTACCAGACCTCCAAAGGTGTCCATGACAAAAAAGAAATAAGATCCCCTGGCATACATAACCTCTCGGGTCTATGCCAGCTCTACCATTCTGTGATCCTATAGCCACCATGATAGCCACATGGACTGCTGGGAAAGGAGCCTGGGAATATCTTTGAGGTGATCCTGGAGGAGACTGTGGTAGGCATATTATAGGTGCTGTGTTTTTTAACTTACCCCCTAGGGCTCACCTAGAGGGCTACCTCATATTCCATGCTAAGTAGACAAATGAAGCACAATAGGGGAAAAAGTGTTTTGGAACAAATAATCCAATATACTTAGGTAATGGAAAAATACCAGCCTGGCATTTGAGACTCTGACTCTTCATAACTGGATGTATAACTGTAGGGAGATATAGCCTTTCTGTGTTGGTTTTTTCATCTCAGAAATTATGTCAGTCAATCACTAAGCATTTATTAAGCTTCTACTATGAGCCAGGTCCTGTGCTAAATGCTGTGCATACAACTAAAAGTAAGAGATAGTCCTTGCCCTCAAGAAGCTCACAGTCTAACGGAGGAGACAACATGCAGTGAACTTTGTACAAACCAAAAGTACGCAGGATGAATTGGGGGCAATCAAGAGAGAGAAGACACAGATATTAAGAGAAATCAAGAAAGACTTCATATAGAAGGTGAGATTTTAGTCGGGCTTTGAAGGAAATGTGGGAGGACAGAAAATGGAGATGAGGAAGGAGATAATTCCTCTGTGAAGGGGGAAAGTGAGTAAAAATGGCCAGAATCGGGAGATGGAGTGTGTTGTGTGAGAACAGCAAGGAGACCAGTTTTGATGGATTGAAGAGTGTGTCAAGGGTATAAAGAAAAGTTAGAAAGGTAGGACAGGGCCAGTTTATGAAGGGATTTGAACACCAAAGGATTGTATATTTGATCTTCTGGGTCAAAGGAAGCCATTGGAGTTGATTGAATAAAGTTGATTGAATAAAGACCATGTCCTGTGAAGATCAATCTGAGAGCTTAGTGGAGGGTGGACTGGAGTGACAGGAAGACCAACTAGCAGAGTATCATAATGGTCCAGGTGGGAGGTGGTTAGGGCCTGGACCAGAGCAGTGACTGTGTCAGACAGGAGAAGGGAGCGTATGATGTGAAGGTAGAAACGAGAAGACTTGGCAACAGATTTGGATATGGGGGGAAGAGTCGAGCAAGAGTAGGAATCAAGGTTATCAGCCTTCGTGAAGAGGAGGATGGGGATGCCTTCAAACATCAGTAAGAGGGCAGGGCTTAGGGAAGAGGGGAAGATCCTGAGTTCAGTTTTAGACATGTTGAGTTTAAGATGTCTACGGGACATGTAGTTTGAGATATCCAGTAGCCAGTTGGAGAAGTAAAATTGGAGGTCAGACTGGATAAGTAGATCTGGGAATCTTCAGCATAGAGATAATAATTAAATCCATGAGAGTAATGAAACCAGTTCACCTATTTGACAAGGTAGTTTTGAGGACAGTAGAATCATAGAATATTGATACTGGCGTGGATCTTGGAGTTAACTGCCAACTGCCTAATTTTATAGTTGAGAAACTAAGGCTGAGAAAATTTTTAATGAGATCATGTATAAAAGCCCTTGAAGGAAAGAGAAAACAGTTTTAAAGAGAGCTTTACACTGTAAGGTGGTATTACTATCTATAACACTAGAGGTTAGGTGGCCATTTAAAAGAACAGGGTTCTCTGGATTGTCTCAGTTCTTTATATTGTCTGACACAGGGCTCTGAAAGGACAACTTCTGCTAAATTGTTTCTTTTGCTGGGATAGTTTGGAGTGTTTATTCACATCTCACTTGCAGGAAAAGGGAAATTTTGCTCGCTCTTGTTTCATGTGGTATTTAGAACTAGTTAATTATCTGACATGTGCTTTTGATTCACATACTGCATCACATTTCCTTATCACACTGAAGTTTTGTTTGTTGTATTGTTATTCAGTTGTTTTAGTTGTGTCTGATTCTTCGTGACCCCATTTGGGGTTTTATTGGCAGAGATTCTGGAGTGGTTTGCCATTTCCTTCTCCAGCTCATTTGACAGATGAGGAAACTCAGGCAAAGAGGGTTAAGTGACTTTCCCAGGGTCACACAGCTAGTAAGTGTCTGAGACTGGATTTGAACTCAGGTAGATGAATCTTCCTGACTCCAGGTCAGGCACTCTATGTACTACTTCACCTAGCTGCCATAGGATCATAACATTTAGCATTGGAAAGGGCCCAAACAACCATCCATTGCCCAAGGTCATGTGGGTTGTGAGTAACAGAGCAAAGATGTGAACCCACATCCATGAATTCTAAATCCTGAACTCTTTGTATTATACCATATTACCTCCTAAGTAACTAGGATTTATACTACAACCTTTCCTACTGAGCTATCAGAAATAAACAGAAGTGAATTTTTCATACCTCCTCCTCTAACCTCTAATATTTTGTCTTTTCCTTCCCTTTTTTTTTCAGACTCTGAGAAAAATAATGATACTGTGGGCCCAAGGACATTTCTATTCAGGAATTCTCCTAATGAGTATGAATCGTTTGCATCCTGGGAGGATGATCAAGAAACCACTCCTGAAAACACACCAGCCTCCATCAATAAGACAAGTCGTATTCAAAAGCCACAGCCCAAACATCTGTCTGAAGATGCTTCCAGATATCTGACTGGTCCCTGGCTGACACTCTTCGTTCCTTCGGTTTATACTGTAGTATTTGTCGTAAGTCTGCCTTTAAATATCGTCGCTATCATCGTGTTCCTTGTGAAAATGAAGGTCAAGAAACCAGCTGTAGTATACATGCTGCATCTGGCTACTGCAGATGTTCTGTTTGCGAGTGTGCTGCCCTTTAAAATAGCGTACTACTTTTCTGGAAGTGACTGGGCTTTTGGGTCTGGAATGTGTCGCTTTGTTACTGCAGCTTTCTACTGTAACATGTATGCTTCAATAATGCTGATGACAGCCATAAGTGTGGACCGTTTCTTGGCTGTGGTGTATCCGATGGAGTCCCTTTCCTGGCGCACCCTGGGGCGTGCTTCCTTCATTTGTCTGGCCATATGGAGTATTGCTGTAGGGGGTATTATACCTCTTGTTATCAAGGAACAAACTACAGAAATCCCTGGGCTAAATATAACCACCTGCCATGATGTCTTAAACCAAAAGCTACTTAAAGGGTATTTTGTTCATTACTTCCTGGCTTTCTCTTCAGTTTTCTTTTGTGTACCATTAGTCATTTCCACAGTCTGTTATGTGTCCATTATCCGCTGTCTTAGCTCGTCTTCCATTGCCAACCAGAGCAAAAAGACCCGGGCCTTACTCTTGTCTGCAGCTGTGTTCTGTATCTTCATCATTTGCTTTGGACCCACAAATGTTTTTCTGATCACCCACTACTCCTCACTTATTTATAGCAGCACAACTGAGAAAATCTACTTTTTCTACCTTCTCTGTGTGTGCATCAGCAGCATAAGTTGTTGCATTGATCCCTTGATTTATTATTATGCTTCTTCTGATTGCCAGAGATATCTCCGAAGTCTCTTATGCTGCAGAGACAGTTCTGATCCAAGCAGCTTCAACAGCAGTGGCCAGTTGATGCCTAGAGCTAGTAAAATGGATACGTGCTCCACTAACATGAGTAACAGCATATACAAAAAGTTGTTAACTTAGCAGGTGATTAGATTTTGAAGTTGTATTAAAAAATAATCAGCTAGCAGATTTGAGATTCTATTTAGCACCTGTCAAAAAGTATTAATCTCACCAGCTAAAAGAGCAGAGGACTTACGATGCATCCTTCTTAACCACAGACATTGAGCATGGATGTTTGCTAAAAGCATTTCACTACAAGATAACGTAGGCATTAATGACAGTGTTACTGAAGAAGTGCATTTGTAAGCATTATTATAAAGTTGAATGTTATAAAGAGACTATCTCTTTGACATACTCACAGTGTACTATATGATAGGCACTTTGAAAACCATTTTCTCTTTTTTTTCTTGATTTGGGCTAAATGACATCCACAGTCCCTTCCAGCTCTAAAATTCTGTGACCATGTTATACAACAATAACCTCTGTGACTGAAAATTCTATATATAAGTGGTTTTTATGAGGTTTTTTTTTGGATAATGTAGTTTTGATCAACTCATAGTAGCTGAATGGCAATGCGGCCATGTCTTTAATTACAACTTTAGAGAGATAGCATAGACTTGTGCAGTTTTCATGGAAAAACATAATCTGTGAGAGTCTTTTTGATTACAGCTTTTCAAACAGTGGTAGGCAACATTTGAATTATTATGAGACTAATAGATATTTATAATAACAGAATCTGAACCTTAAACTTTTAAGAGAAAACAAAAATGTGAAGTCTTAAAATTGCTGAAATGATGAAAAGACTACCTTTTTAGCAGTCCTACTCTAAAGATTCTTTTTGGTCATCAACAAATCAAAAACTATGTTTGAAAGCAAGTATCTCAGCAGAATAAAGAAGTCACAAACAGACCCAGGATGAAAGCCTATGTGGTGTTCATGGGGCAGTAGAGTACTGCACAATTACATATTTAAAATTGTAAATTTGCACTTAGAGGTAGACTGTTGTGGCAGATAGAGTAGCAAGTCCAGACATCAAGTCCTGCCTTTAACATATTCTAAGTGGATGACTTTGGAGTAAGTTATTTAACTTTTCAGTTCCCCGGGCAACTCTCCAAGATTATAAGTGGTAGACATAGATTCCATATCACCTATCTAGGCCAAAAAATGAAACATTGCACTGGGTTTATGAGGAACAATTAAATATCTATGAGAGTGGTCTTCATCATCCTGAATCAGCATCATAATAGAAAACTGGAAGTAGGGAACAAGGTTTCTGAGGTTTGTCAGATGTGGAAGATCAGGAGCCCTCCTGGTGTAAGATGCCAGATGCACCAGCCATTACCACCAAAACAACAGGCAGAGCTCTCGCTGCTCTGTAATCCATCTTGTTTATTAGGACCAGATGTGTAAATAAGAATACAGGGCACCAGAAGACTTGTATCTGAATGATGTATCTACATTTGCAGGTCATATGCCCCAGGAGCATGAAAAGGACAGCTTCCGAACAGTGTTTAATCACACAAGTTTCATGTTCCTACAAAAGCATTCATTATCACATTTAGAAATGTATTTAGCAAGATGTGACTCACACATGTTCTCGTAAGCCATATACAAAGGCAGTCATGGAAAGAGGTTTGACAACTCATGCTGTTTCTGATGGTGTTAAAATGAAAACAGAGTAAAACCACAGAGGGATGCTTTTGGAAATAGCTCCTTCAACCTGCATTAATTTGAACACCATCTACTTGTGAATGTTTTGTTGAAGGAATTATCTTAAATAAGCTCCTTCTGAATAAGAAGTTGAGAACTTTGGAATGGTTACATAAGAAAAGTTCGTGGAATTTAATGTCTGTAGAATTGGAGGACTTTTTTATTTTCCATTCATTTATTTTTGATATATTAATTCTGCATACAATGCTTTCTTTTCTACTTAAATCTTTATGGTAATTATGAACCCCCACTTTTAATAGTACATATGTGGTTTTTCTGTTTTTTTAATTACTTGGATAAACCTAAACATATAGTGATTTTTAAAGGATTTCATAAAAAAAAACCTTTTCTTTAAAAAAAAATTACTATAGTCTAATTGTAAAGTACAGAAGATTCATTTGTTTAGACCTTACTAATTTGGAAACCAAGCTGGTTTATCTTTATGTTGTCTGTGGGGGAAAAAGGGACCTAATAATCAAATAAACTCTCTCAAAAGACTAGCAGGGAAATTTTGACCTTTTTAAAAGAACAAACTCTGTCAAACACTTTATAAGTAACCATTTATATACCAATAAAATAATTACAATATAAGAAGGAGCTACTGAAGAAATTGCATTGATGTGTTCAGAAAAAATCTTTCTGATAAACTCATTTAAGCAGGAATGAAGCTAAGGGTCACTTCACAACATCACAGACCTACATTTTAAAGTAGCAAAACTACATGTCTTTACAAATTTTTACAGTATTATCTAGTTCCAAGTTAGAGTAACTTTATACCATACTCTTCCAAATTAATGAGGTTTTACTGTGTGTATTATGATCTGTTCATTCTGTGTATAATATTAAGCTGATCTGGATTAATAGAAGTATCTGTGTATTATCTATGTTTGGAAAGTAATGTGTCATTGTGTTCATTTTCATTGTTTGGAATTTCATTCAACCTACACTAATAAACTTGTAAAATGTGTTTGGGATCTGTTTGGAAGAGATGACAATCCAGCTAACTTTATAGTGAGTTTTTTTCCTCCTTCTCTTGAATTATCATTAGAAATGATATTAAAATGAACTGATAATAAGAATGTCTGAAAGCATGATAGAAACACGAGAGCTAAGAACCTGGCCTATTGAGAAGAAGAAGGAGAAAACAAAACAATGGACCTAGAGCCAGAAGGGAACATGTTGAAACCCCAAGCTGGTATAAATCTTAGTTATTGTTATGTACTGAGAGAGAAAAAAGTGATTAACCTCTGCTCATCTTGAGAAGCTATGTGTGTGAAATAAATAATTAGATCCCTTAAAATAAACAATCATTTGAAATAAATGATTAGATAGAACAAAGTTTAATGTTTCCCAATTTAGCTTAAGTTGAAGCAGATAATGGAAGCTATTATTAATTGGTTATCAATAGGCACTTTCCTATAAGTTAGCCTTGACTGGCTGAGCTATTTCATGGGAATTAAAAGTTCATTGTCCAAAACCCCTGTTTCCTAAGAGCTAAGAGACAAGCTGCAACTGATTTTTTTTTAAATTACATGCCACAACTTTCATACTGTCCTGGACTATCTTTCATCTTTCTTTGTATCCCTAGCACTTAACACAATTACTGGCACATAGTAGGACCTAAATAAGTGCTTATTGACTGACAATTTCGTTACTGGAAGGGTGAGGATAACAGTGAAACTAAATAACATCTATATAATATTTTAAGGTTTACAAAGTGCTTTACAAATAGTTCCTTTTATCCTCACAACAACCCTGGGAGGGAGGTGTTATTATTATTCCTATTTTACAGATAGGAAAGCTGAAGCAAACAGAGGGTAAGCGACTTGTCCAGTGTCATATAGCTAGTAAGTATTTGAAGAAGGATTTGAAACCAGGTCTTTCTGGTTCCAGATACAAAGCTCTATCCATTATGCCATGTAGTTGGCCTCATTTAAGAGGTGTCTCAGAGAAGAGGTGTTTTGCTTCCCTTCCCTTTGAGAAAGCTTAATATTCTAAAATCCAAAACAGAAAAATAATGGGATTATTCTAGCCATCAGAGGGCAGCTAGGTGGCATAGTGGATAGAGTCTAGACTCAGGAAGACTTCCTGAGTTCAAATCCAACCTCAGACATTTATTGGTTGCGTGACCCTGGGCAAATCACTTCACCCTGTTTGTCTCAGTTTCCTCAATGAGCAGGAGAAGGAAATGGCAAACCACTCCAGTATCTTTGCCAAGAAAACCCCATATGGGTCACAAAGAATGAGATATGACTGAACAATAATAACGTAGCCTTCAGAAAAGAACTCTTTTATTCAAAAAAGGATGTAGGATTCCTCTAAACAGCAAAGCCTTTGGGCATGTTAAAGTGTTTCTTTAAAGAATCTTGATTTGTGAGGACAAGAGAAGATACATGGAAAGTGTTAATAGCCTTTGACTATTGAAGAATAATGGGAAATTAAGATATCATCTTTGAAATTACGAGTCAGTGAAAAATTTAGCTCTATTTACAGAAAAAATCACACATTGTTGCAGGCATATAACAATTGAATGAAGAAAGGTATATCTCTATTCACACAGCATGAAGTTTTAGCTCATAGGCATCAGAAAAAAGAAACTGAGAAAGGTTCCTGTTTCTTGGAGAAAAAAATCTTTCAGTTTCTTTTTTTTTCAAACATTCATTTTCATTGATTTTCATTGATCATTTGATCTTAGTCTAATAAAAATCATCTCCTGGAGTACATTCAGAGTTACCTTTTCTAGTTCTGGTCAATGACCTGTGCTACTCCAGCCATTTGGCACAAAAGAGATGATGACTTTGGCTACTTCTAGACATGTAATAGCTTAGCAACCCCTCATTGACTGTTAAGGCAGAGGAACTGATGTCTAAGTTGACAGACAAAAAGAAGAGGCAACTTACAGCTCACTGTCTTGCTTTAACTTTCTCATTTGGCAAGTAGTTTACTCTTTGTCTAGACTCTCTATGAGGGATGGGGGAGAATGGATAGTATACCTCTCCCCATGCTCCTACCATGATGTTGAGCGTTGACTTAAGTAGCTGACCTTGTGTCTGGGCCCTGGGATTCTTTTACTCTTCATTCTTCCTTTTCTGAATAGATGATAGAACATTTTTCTTAAGATGGACATGTCCAGGCTTGGAAGCAACCTTGTGAGTTTGAGAAGACTACAGGTTATAAGTCTAATGAGTGGAGCTGGCTGGTTGAAATGGAAATGTCTTGGAAGAAATCAGAGAAGGAGCCCAAGCTCCTGGCCTGGCTCTCCAGAAGACACAGACATTGTGGGAGACAGTGTATATGCCTAATCAGCAGTCCTGGGAATTGCTTCACATTTAGATGTATCTACTCTCAGTATCTTGTAACAGCAGTTATCAGTTAAGCTAATGAATCCTGTTCCATCAAAGGATGCTATGCATTTTTGTGTACCATACCTGGGTCTAGAGCAGAGAAGTCAATTAGTAGAGAAGGGAATGTATGCAATATCTCAGCCCCTTTAGGCCCAGTTGTGGTTCCCTGGTTATATCATTAGAATTAAGCTAGCTAAGGTGATGAACTCAAGATGCATGAGACATATTTTCAGATGTGACCAATGTGGGAATCTGTTTCACTTAACTATGCATATTTAACACAAGGATTTATTTTTTTTTCTTGGGAGGCAGAGTGAGTCAGAAAGATAAGACAGGTCAGGAGAATAGTATTAGGCTTACCAAAAATGGAAAGAAAATTTAAAAAGAGGGTCCTTAAAAGTATTCTTTTAAATGCACAGAAAAGAACAGAAGGAAACTTACTAGGATCCATAGACAACCAGAATAGCTCTGAAAATATAACAAGTTGGATTGCTTGTATAGTTGGAGAGTAAGGCAAACTATATGTAATACAGATTCATAGCTACATAATTCAGCCTTCCTTTTCTGTTCTGACATATGTAGAAATGTTCATTCTGCTTACTATTTCTTAAGCTCAAGATAAAACAGTTTTTTTAAAAGGAATTAAACTATTTGCTGGAAGAAAATACTTCAAAGTTCATGCAACACACACACAAACAAATGAAGCTGTTTCACTCACACATCAACCAAAAATATCATTAAAGGAAGTTGGTTTAAAAAAATAACTGGTTCTCCTTGTAGTTGAAAGTACACTTGGAAAATTTCAGCCCTAAAGGTTAATTTCCCAGAAAGTTATGATTGACACACCACCAGGCTCTGGCCCAGACTGACAGTTTGCTTAGAAGGAGTTGTGTTCCTCTGCAAAGTAGTGAGACCTAAACCTGAGCAGCAGCATGATGTAGTGGATATCAGACCTACCTTTAGAGTTAGGAAAACAGGGGTTCAAGTGCTGCCTCTGAGATATATTGGCTCTGTGACCCTGGGCAAGTCACTTCACTTCTCAGTTCTCACAGGCAGCTCCCTAAAACTGAGTTCCAGAAGAGTTGCAGATGTGCATCAAGAGAAAACATTTCCATAGGGGGTTGTCCACAGTGGTAAAATTACAGGCTTGGACCAAACAAATAAATGAATAAATAAATAAATTGGCAAATTAGTGGATGAATTTTAAAAAAAAATCCCTGACCCACTGCAAGCAAAAAACCTGAATGCTGACCCTGTAGGTCCTATCAAGAAGTAAACATCCAAAACAAAATCACTGATGATAGTATAATGGAACATAGCCAGTTTAGTACCAATGAAAGGATCCTCATTCGAACTCTGATCAATCAGGTGCTTTTAGATGATGAGTGACCATCAGAGGTTCAAACTGCTTCTTTGTCCTGTTACGAGGGCAGCTGAAAGTTGAGGGGAAAGAAAAAAGTTTTCAAGAGCATTGTGTTTAAGTCTGTGCTTCTGTGTGATATGTTCTCCATTTACTTCTGGGAAATCAGAATCAGCTAGACCTGAATGCTGTTTAGCTATGACCAACAAGGCTCTTTGGGCAGTAACTGTAGCTGTACATTCAAGATCAGTCATAGTGTGTAGTGTGCCTGTATATTGGTGTTTTCATCCACAGGACTCATCAGCATATGAAAAGTGGTCAACTTCTCTCTGACCTCTATATCAAAGACAGAAATAGAGAGACAGAGAGAAATGGGGGGGGGGGAAGAGATAGACAGAGACAGAGACAAAGTCAGAGACACACAGAGAGAGACAGAGAGACTCAGAGAGGATAGACAGACACAGAGAGACAGAGAGAGAGAAACAAAGAGAGAAAGAGACATTGAGAGACAGTGATAGAAAGGCACAGAAAGAAAAAGAAAGAAAGAGAGAGGGGAGAGGGAGAAGGAAAGAAAAACGGATGGACAGAGACAAAAACAGAAATAGAAACAGAGAGAGAAGGAGGGAGGGAAAGAGAGAAAGAAGGAGGGGGAGAGACATAGAAAGAGAGAGACAGAGACATAGAGAGGAAGAGAGGGAGAGAGAGAAAAAGAGAGAGAGAGAGATACACCTCTTAGCTGAAATTAGAATACCTCTAATTTAGAGGGAGTACCATCCATTTCTCAGAGTGGTTATGAAAAGGAATGAATGTAAGTTAGGAAGTACTAGATATATAAATATGAGCTATTAGTAGTGGTGATATCATTATGTTATCTGCTAGGGATTTTGGTTTGGTTTGGTTGCCATTATAGGGTGGGCTGGAGTGACTGAGAGATATCTAAGGCCAGCATTGGCCATTGTCAAAAGTCAAGAGCTTATGGTTTTGTTCATATGGGATCTCTTTCCACTGACTCAGAGTCAGAATTCTATCTGTACCATACATACAGAGATGCTAAGTGACTTGCCCACAACTGCAAAACTAACACAGTATTTGAACCCAGGTTCTTGACTCCCATCGCTGAGCCAGGGGTCGGGAACCTGCTTGAGTCTAATCCCTATAAGACGCTACTTCTCTATGTATTAATATACTCACTAAATAATGGTTCTCCTCTGCCCAAGATAGGATCCTTCTACATTTTTTAATCATGCCTCAGAACCCCAAGG